AAAAAAAAAAAAAAAAAAAAAAAAAAAAAAAAAAAAAAAAAAAAAAAAAAAAAAAAAAAAAACGAACACGTAGCGTGCATAAAAATTGATGATTTGTCAAAGGCGGGGGGTTTTTTTAGATATATTTTTATTCTCATTTCTTGAAGGCAGAAGACCTTCCGCCACCAAGCTTGCGCGGCTAAAACCCATTCCCGCTCACCCAAAAATGGCGGAGCTCAGTAAGCTTGCACAGTACATCGAGTCCTTCGTCGACGTATCTCATACTCCGTCTCAACAGGTTATTGCTCCATTTTCCATTTGGCTTTTGAACTCTCAATTTCTCAATATTGCATGCCAAACTAGACGATTATCAAAGCGGGTTGAACTCTCTGAACTTAAACCTCAGCAAATTATTCTGTTTTTGGCTCCCACTTTTAGCTCGATTCGTTTGCCACATTTAATTAGTAGAAAGCTTGGAAATCCTGGGAGATGAACAATTCCACAGTGTGTCTGTGAGTGTTGTTTTTTATTTTTTATTTTTTTTTTGGAAATCCCGGGAGATGAACTTAACCTCGTCAATTTTGTCTTGTTACAATTATTCGGGTCGAAGTGGTTACCCAACGAATTGGAGTATCGTTTCATGTAAGGGTGTAACGGCCCAAACCGACCGCTAGTAGATATTGTCCGTTTTAGGTCGTTACGATCACGAAAGCAACCTGCTTTGCAATAGGCTGAGATTTGAAAGTTACTTTTGACAAATATGACAAAATTTGTCTACTTTAGCTGAGATTAGGAAATTAGTTCCAACTACGATTGTTGCCTTAATTATCTGTTTGGTCTCAGTTCCGAGTTTATTTCTTTAGTAAGGCTTCTTCTGCGAGCTTGGTCTTTTTGGATACCCTGGTATTCTTTCATTCTTTCTCAATGAAAAATGACGACGAAAGAGTAGAAGATTTTCAATGCTTTTTTAAGGCTTAAGTTGACAATGGAAAAGTAATCAGATCATGGGAGGATGTTCGGACTAACTCGATTTCCCTCCCAACTTCTTTCCAGGTCAAACAAAATTTCTAACAAAAATGAACTGGCGATTAGTGATTGTTAGCATGAAGAAGTTGGGGTTTGGGCATTATAAGAAACCTCTCTTTGATGGAGGGATCAATATTTAAATCATTTTCTCATGTTGGAGGAATGGTTAACTGTTAAGCCTATTGGTCTAGATTCAGTCTGAGTTTGTACTTCGTAGAAAACAGGACAATGTGGTCTCCTTTAGACTCTCTGGTCTCTATTCTTGTAGGACAGTCTACAGCTTATGCCCCTTCAACCATGCTTGAGGACCTTTCTACTGCAGTTTGGATGGGAAATGGCCAAAGAAGATGAAAACCTTATATTGGGTTTTGTTTAATGAAAGGCCTTTAGAATAATGATAGACACCCAATACGTTTATTCAGTCTGAATTGGTTTTATTATTATTATTGTTCTTTTTTTTTTCTTTTGCAAAGACCATGTGGAAATTGCTAACCTTATCTTTTAGGGAAGCCCTTTTACTACTCATATTTAGTGGAAAAGTTTCCAGTCTAACGTTTAACTGGTCCTCCCTCAGTCAGAGGTTCAGTTTTTGCAAAATTTCTTCTGCTGCCAACCTTTTATTGGAAATATGTATGCATAAAAAGCAATGCAAGAAACATATGGAAGTAGACGCCTGGTTTTTGTGAACAAATGCTGTTAGAGCTACTTTATTGGTCGGTTTGCTTGAAAATAATGAAGTCTTCCCACATGTGCACTGTGGCGTAATTTAGGAA